AATGTCAGAGTATAATTATTCAATTTATTGTCAATCTCTTAGTATGTCTAATATACAAGCTCAATTTTTTCTTTGTTAAGTGCATACATGGAAAAATCACAGTACCTAAGGGCTGGTTCCAGGCATCCACTGAGGAGCTGAAAAGGGATGTGGCAGACACAGAGACACTGCTCTATGTTCCTTCCTAGTCTTATTTCCCTCTCTACCCAGTCTGAACAGAAACCTGTTTCTCCTTTTCATAAATCGTTCTCAAACTCCTTACTATACAGGCAAATATTTATGAAATGTTATATTAAACAAAGTTAAATGAGTTTTCTTACTTCCTCAATTAAGAAAAAAAATAGATGTAGAGTGCTGGTATTTTCTTACACTCATTTCATCAGTAATCCTTTTACACCCTGGAAATACTTAAGACCAATGTCCTGAGTAGTATATTTTCAAGTACTGACATTGTTTGGTTAGTCTCTGCCTCTCAGTCACTCCCTACATGATTACAGGCACACTTTCTAAGCCTATCCACTAAATTAAAGCGGGCCTCTTACTTGATTCAACAAATACTAGTTGATTTTCTTGCATTAGATAAAATGTTCTAAGACATATTCAGCTAAAGACAAAAGAATAAAATGAAATAAAATAAAAACAAAAACCCTAATTTTACAGAGACCCTACTCTTCAAATACTAGGGAGAAAAGTGAATTGAAACTAATAAAATGTCAGGGGATTAACCACAAAAAGAAGAAAAAAAAGAATATGGAAAGATAGCCAAGGCTATCTTTGGGAAGTAGACAAGATCAGGGAAAACTAATAGTAACAGAGACTAAGAAATGGGAGGTAACCACTCACCATCAATCTATTAACTGTCATGTTTAACCACCTCTTTTGAACCCTCATTGACTAGGCTTTTCCATAACATAAGATCCTGTTCACAAATCTTTTGACTTTTAATGTTCTTCCTCTTTAGGCTACTGTATTTCTCCCCAATCCTGAATTTCCCAGGTTTCACCATCTAAGCAGGATTTGGCAGGTTAGAACTAGATTTCCTACCTACACTCAAATAATATGTTTCTTCTAGTTCATTTGTTTCTTCATAAATATTGCTTCTTCCCCACATTCTTTTTTTTTTTTTTTTTTGGCAAGTTTTAAAACTTCTCTAAAAACTCTGCCCATTGAATTTCCCATTCTACCTAACCCCAAAATATGGGATTTTATAAGCAGCTTCTTTTCTCACTTTGTTAAGTATGATTTGCCTAGGCAATGGCTCCCTCTTGCTAGTGATAACCACTAAAACTTTCAGGTAAATAATTTCCAAGTTAACTCTGAGGTTTGTTTATTTTATATCTGATACTCCCAAGTACTACACAAACATATTTCAAGCCAAAGTCATTAAGTCAGGAATCTTTTTTCTCTCTTGTACCAAAAAGTCGTAGCTCATTTTCCAATCTCAGAACTATCTCCCAAATTTACCCTCCCTTTGATTTTACTCTACATTTGCCATAGGTTTTTTTGTTTTTGTGCCCCCCCCCACCCCCGAGACAGGATTTCTCTGTGTTGTTTTGGTGCCTGTCCTGGATCTCACTCTGTAGACCAGGCTGTCTTTGAACTCATAGTTTTAATCTTCACCATATATATATATATATGCATTTGAGGTCTCTGCTTTTGTTCCAGTCTATCTTGGGCACAGTTATGTGGGACTCACCTGGTAGGCCAGGAGAGATGGCATGCAATGTTTTAGCTATAACTGAATACTCTTAAGCATCTAACCTGCTTCCTTAGTCTTTATCCATTGAATAAATATGTACTTCAATGCACTTGACATTTAACTAATGTTTTTTTCTGTGCATGTTTAATACTTAATAGAGTCAGTCAGGTTTAATGTTTAATAGCTTTGCTTTTTATAGCTGAGATAGCTGAGATTCTGATTTGAGTAATATGCCCAATTGTGGATTAGAGAACTGGCCAAATGGTAAAGAGTACTAGCAAGTACTTTTGCTCTTGCAAAGGACCTAGGGTTCCAATCCCAATATCAACATGGGGGTTCACAACGGTCAGTAACTCTAGTTCCAGGGGATTTGATGCTTCCTTTTGATCTCTGCCAGCACTAGGCATAGACATAGTACATGTACATACATGTAAGCCAAACACTCATAAACAAAAAAATAAATTTTCAAAAAAATGTACATTCCCAAATCATAGAGAAAAAATAAAAAAGACAACAAGAAAATAATAGTTTAGATAAAAGCTTCTTTGAACCTTTCTGGCCATTAAAATACCTGAATTCCAACTCAGCATCAATCAAAAGCCACGACAATGACAAACAGATGAATGCTACTAACAAAGATGAAGAGTTATTCAGTAAACCAGTACACATTTATACTAAGCTAAAACAAAAGATAAGCATTAACAAAGCATGATGGCAGACTTCTACTAGGTAGGTGTGACAATACAGAAGAGCAATACTAAGATAATAAATGCAGCAGTCCAGAAGAGGAGTGGCCTGCCTAATGTCTGCCATAGTTGTTATAGCATATCTTAGGATATTAGGAAGGCAATGACAATACTGTCTGTAAGGATAAAACCTTAGACTTCACCTCAATCTTACAGATGATAAAACTTGTAAGATATTAGAAGTCCCCAGCTCTAAAATGACTTCTACGCTCCTTAGGTGCATCCAGGGTACACTTTCACACAAAAAGGGATCAAAGGCTTTTCTCTAATCACTCAAGCTGTGCAAAAGTTCTGCTATGGATTATACAAAATTGTAACAACACTGGTTTAAAATACAGTATGCAATTTAATAATTCACTTTGTGACAATTCCAGAGACATAAAAGTCACAGAAGATCAAAAATAACATAAATGGTATATGATTTATAAGTAAGCAATAAACATTTACTTTAAAAGAGTAAAAATAGCTTGGAAAGAACTTTTTCAAGGGACCAGTAACTACTTTCAACTAAAAATGTAAGTCAAATGTCAAAGAATATTTTTGATAAATGATAAAGATACAGTAAACAAACTTGAACATTTATTACAATACATTGTCCTATAAGTTCCAATAATGAAGAAAGCTATCAAATAACTTACAAAGTAAAAGCGTGGGTGAATAAATTAATGAATGAAGTCTGCAAAATGTGATGTAATAGGAACCTTTTTTTTTTTTTTGAGGAAGGTGGGGGTGGGGTGGGGTTGAAGCCAGAAAAAGCGCACTGTTTTCCAATCAACAGAACACCTCGAGCTTTTATTATGTTGAACTACTTGAAATTGCCAATATTCAGCTGTTCTGCCAGACAAAAAGAACTATTTTCTTACATTTCAACCTAAATCATTACAATTAAACACATTTAATGATGGCATCCTATTTTGTTAGGAAAAAAAATCAGAGTCAAAGGGTTGGTACTGTTTGACACAACCCAGACTCAGAAATCATGCTCATTCCATATTATACCAGGATCCGTATATTCTATACACACACACTCAGGTGACTGAATATTATGATAGTTTTCAATTATATTTTCAAAATTTCTGACTTAGATTGCAACAGCAATATTAGCACAGCTTAAAATGTTAAGTTTCTTAGAATGGGTAGAGCTTTGGCTATACTTTTATTCTTTGCATGCATAGGATGAGTAAATGAAACATTGGGTGAATATTTCTTCCACAGTAAATGTTGATCAGTAAAAATTTGGGAAGTGTTCTAAAACACTGTTCATGCACTATAACATTATAAAAATTCTGGAACCCATGTTTCAGCCCTGTTTTCTATATATAGTCTCTACACCAGTATAGTTTTAAATAATTAAAATAAGCTGCCTGCAGAGGCTCCCAAAAAAAGATTTTTGAAAGGAAGTCTTTACAATTTCTCATTTCATGTCAAGTTGGATGGTACAACAAGACCTTCACAGGTCACAGTAAACTGTAGCTGGGCCCATATGTGGTCAACAGGAATTCTTTATCGACTTCAAGGTGTTTGGTGAGAGCTTCATTGCAAAATAAAACTATGAAATAAAATCCATAATCATATCATTGCATTTTCTTTCTGGTGCACTTAAATTACTGAAAGAAAGTTATCAGTTACCACATTTCACTTCATAACACGTCCTGAAATAACTATCTATAATACAAGAAAATGAAAGGCTCGGTGCCCCTGCTCATTCCAAGTATGTTAAGTGGTGGAATCTTTTTTAAAGAAAAACAAACAAACAAAACCAGGATCCAAAAATTCTGAAAGCTTGTTTATCATAAATGTACACTGTCTTTTTTAATCTTGAAGCTGTTGCTACCACTGCTAGGTTGGTTTTTTGTTTTCTTCCCTCCCTTTGTTTTTAAACGAATGTTGTCCTCAGACAGGATTAAAACGGATGAAAGGGGAGAAAAAGTGAAAGAAGTAGGAACAAAGCAAAATCTGAAGCCATGGTTACACCACCAGGAAAAAGAGAAGATAAGGAACCAAAGCTGGCTCTTCCCTAGTCAGTCCTCGTGAATAAACCATCAGGCTGTAGCTATTGTTCGCGGTGTAGAGCTGGCCAGGGACACTTCCTTGGAGATGCTCTGGCATCCCTCCGACCAAGGCGCGGCAGAAATGGAAGGAAGGCTACCCAGGAATGCCCAAGGTGTGTGTCGGGAGCTCGCAGGAGGTGGGGCGAGTCCTGGGGGGCCAGCAGGGGCTGGCGACCCGGACCTCGCGAACATTAACCGAGAATACAGTTTGCAAAGATAATAAAACCTGACCAGAGACGCTGACTCCCCAAAGGAGACTCGGGGGTCAGGAAGGACCCGGTAATGGTGGGAAGGCCTTGCAGGAGAGAGGACGAGGGGCTCCCGACCCCGCGGGGAAGCCGCGGACCGTGCGCCGCTGGCAGCCCGCGGTCACCGCTCCGGCCCCGGCATCGGCGGGCGCGGGGACCTCGGCGCAGTGCCGTCCGGCCGCACTCGCCCCGGGAGCCGCGGCCCCTGTCGCCCCGACCCGCTCGAGCCCCGCGGCCGCATCCCCCGGCATCTCACCTTCCAGCCCCTCCATGGCGCACCGCCTCGGGCTCCTCCGGCAGCGCCCGCCGCCGCCCAGCTCTGGCTGTAGCAACCCAGCCGCGCCTCCCACACGCTAACATCCAGCTCTCCCATTGGCCCACGCTAGCTGGGGCGGGGCTACGGAGGGCGGGGCTACGGAGGGCGGGGCCGCGCCTCCGGCGGTCTCCAGGGAGAACGCTCCCTACACCAGGTTTTTCCAGCCGCCCTCCCTGGAAGCAGCCGCGGCTTCACTCGGCGTTCCTGAGATCCTGCCACGCCTTTGTTCCACTCCAGCAGCCTTTACCCCCCACCACCACCACCTTGTTTTCCTGCCTAGAATACCTCTGCACCTCTGGAGCGCCTCATCTCCAGTCAATACAAGGATGTCTTTTTGCGGTCCCTAGGAACGGAGTGGCTCTTGTAGCAATCTAAAGGAGCCTAGGTCCCACATCCTCCAGGGTTCTCTATTTAGTCAAACATCCCCCGGACTTGCTCTGCAGACACAACTCCCCCCACTCCCCACCTTTTTTTTTTACAGACACAGACAATGTCTCCTAGATGGATTTATTTTCTGTCTGGGGTTGTGAAACTGAGGCTGTACTAAACTTTGAAAACCATTTCCTCAGCGTAAAAATCTGGGCCCAAAATTAGAAGTGAAACTTTTGCGCTCACACAACCTTCCCCTGCCCAGCAGAGCACTTACATTCAGTCTGCTCTCCTTAGAACTAAGCAAATTCTACATCTCATCAAAACAAGGCTGTGCTGAGGAGTTTAAACTGGGAAGCCAGCCTACCAGCCAGCGGCACAAGGAGGCCTGCCTCTGTCAGAATCAAAACGTGGGGGTGAAGAAGACTCAAAAGGAACTACAACCATTGTAATGGTTTTGCTTCACAAGTTAACACATTTTCCTCCAGACTACAGCTTCTTGAACATATACTTAGCAATAATAAGCCCTGTTATTTGCTGATTCCAAGGTATATACTGGTAAGTTACCACTATTATTTTGTCCTTTACAAATCTTACATTACTTTCTTATTGATCTGTCCAATTCAAAGGTTATCCTATCTTAATTCTGTATACATTTAATAAACCAAGAACTCTCGGGTTTTGTTTTTAAACAAGTAAACCCCTAGGAGGACTGTCTTTGAGAAGATGCTCGAAGTGCATTTGAATGCGGTAGAGGTAGAGTGTCTCTTGTGTAGAATTATGCAGCAAACCTCCCCTTCGGGAATTGTCTCATGAGTCCTTCCCTGGTTCTACTCTGGCCCTTCCTCACTTGTGAGTTTCTAAACCAGGACAGCCTGGTGACCGCCACACAGGCAACTTAGCAAGGCTATGCGTCTTTTTCTTCCTCCTTCCTCCTTTTGTGCTTCTAAAACAAAATCAGATGGGGTTGGGGCAGATTTACAAGAATACCAAAGGCAGAAAAATACACATAAAGAAAATATAAAATTAAAGAAGCCACTTATTTGCAAATTGCAAGTGTTTCACCTGAAGTTAAGACAAATATTTAGGTGATTGGATACAAACCTTATGACCATAAAATCTACAGTAACATTAATTACAATAATAAAAATAGCAACAGCAACAACAACAAAGGACACTGTGAGGCAGGCCAGTCGACTTAGGGAAAAGCACTTAGTGTACAAACCTGGCCTTGTGAGCCTGCTCTCCAGAGCCGGCAGTGGAGAGAACCAACTCCTAGTTTGTCCTCTGCCCTCCACATATGAGAGCCATGGCACATGTGCATGTATATTTACACGCATCACCATACAGCACATTAATAATAAAAAGGGAAAAAACCATATAGCATGTGAAGCATGTTTTGCCCTTCATGCATCCATACATACAATGTGCAAAACAGGTCTACAGAGTACATCCTACAATCTTCAGTTTTCAAAATTAAAATCTTCATCTTCCAGATGCCTCAGCGATTAATGTTTTGTCAATATTTGTGCCAGAATGACTAGTAGAGCCTGGATTTAGTCTCTGCTGGGTGTAACACTGAAGCCTACCATGATATCCTATGTGTCTCTCTCCCCTGCCTTGTCTCCTTCCTGCAGCAAATAAGAACTCAAGCTTTCAGACGTGTGGCTGAATGTGCATTTGGATAGACACTCCTATCGTGTAGCTTAATTCTAAAATCACGTTTTCCGGTCTCCTCTGCAGTGCTGGACTCCCAGAGCGCTTATGTTACAGCCATCTTACCTCCTGAGGCTATCCCCTGGTACCAACTCCAACAGAAAGAAGACACAGCCCTCCCTGATTGCCTGTGTTCCTCTCCCTGCCCCCTGAAAGCCTGCATTGTGAATATCTTCCTTCTTGGCACATACCTCTGATGTAATGCCTCTGTAGTCCATTGCTGTTTCCTCTTGCATTCATTTAGCAAACATTTATTGATTACCTTTTAGGCCACAGGCTCACTTTTCTACTAACCAGATACAAAAGTGAATGCTTCAGCTTTTTTCTCTTATGATTCTAAGCTGTAATCTGTATTCTATTTTAGCTACCAAGTAATGTTAGTAAGTAGCTGATAATGGGACTTTTCTCATTTTCTTACCACACAAAAGGGAAAACTAAGTTAGAAAAATATTTGTCTGCCCTGATCCAGACCCCCAAAGTAGGAAGTAGATGAAATAGATATTCTACTGTGTCTTATCACTTTAAATCTATGACTTGTTCACTTCATATTGTGTCCCCGTCTGTCACATTCACTGGAGCTGTTACACTGCCCTTCTTCAGTTTCCGTGGAACTCAGTCAGCTACACATAGCTTTGTGTTTGGAAGCTCCAGCTTTCTGTTGGATCTCACACAAAGTTCAAGTTCCTTTTCAAAAGCCAGCCTTTGGTTCTCATTCAGATCGTTTGCACAGTGCAGCTAAATGAGATTCTGAATCTCAGTGAGAAAACACAGCTTCGTTTAATCAGCTTCACTATGGAGGACATTTCTCGCATCTGTGGCAACATGGTGAATGACCTGGGTTTTGGTGTTCAAGAAATAATGTATGCATTAGGCGATCATAAGCAAATGATATATTTCAGTATTTAATCAAAAGAAACATGGTACTTATAAGTGCGGGGAGGGGGCTGTTGTAGACTGAAGATGCAAATTTTGAACTGGGTAAGATTTCTTTGATTTTGAAGTACAAGGCAAAATCCATTAAATGTTCAGGGAAAAGAAGGAATGGCTGATTATTGCACTGAACAACCAGGAATGAAAAGCTTACTGTAAGAGATGGGAATTTGTTGAGGAAAAGGGCATCCTAGGCAAGAAGACACCAAGTAAGAAAGGAAGTTTTGATAACAAGCAAGCTAAAGCCGGCTTCATCTCTTTCTGATGTACAGCTGCATCCTCCTCAGTGGACAAGAGATCCATGCCTTTCTGTTTGCAGTTAGGGAAGTATCTTTCATTCCCTTCTACTTCCTAACTTATTTCTACACAGAAAACACTGCATCTTTCAACATCCTACTAGGATCCCACCTATCCATCTCTTGCAATCAGAACTTCAAATAGATTTAAAATTGCTACTGCTAATCTATTAGATGTTCATTGGGATCTCCCTGTGTGCACACCAGTACTCTAGGCATGGCAGGGAGATTCAAAGTTAGCTCTCTGATCTCTGGGAAGTTCATACCAAGTAGAGGGAGTCCTGCATAAGACATGATGCAGAGCTAAGTCTTAGATGTCATGGAACAGTGTCTGAAAACAATTTGTTACAGATACTTTTATGAATGGAAATATTTAAAAGATGTATAAGATGCAGAAGTTAAATTGTATCTTGAAGAGTATCTTTGGAGAGGTAGGGACCACCAAAAACATAATGGTATAAGCCTTATTAGGAATACCATGTGAGCCTGGCACATTCTGGGAAGGAATAAAGAAGCAAGGGTAGTGCGTGTATAGTGTTTATTATTGTGTAATATTTTTCTAGTAGTTCAGTCAATAGGATTTATATATTTTAATGCCAGTTACAAGGAATTGAATTAATTCTATATTCTAATATATCTTTCTAAAAATTTTGCATTCTTGTTCTTCATTCTCTTTTTAACTCTGTTAAAGTACCCTCACTATTAGACACCATTATACTACATCAAATGCTCAAAAGCAGTGGTTCTCAATCAGTGGGTCATGACCCCCCCCCAAACCATCATAAAGCACAGATATTTATATTCTGATTCATAACAGTAGCAAAATTACACTTATGAAGTTGCAATGAAAATAATTTTATGTTGGAGGATCACCACAGCATGAGGAACTGTATTAAAGGGTCGCAGTATCAGGAAGGTTGAGAACCACTGCTTTGAAGTCATAGAAATCTGTGTGTGTGAGTGATCTCTTCTAACATAAATGGTGCTATTTTATGAGTTTATGATTTTAATGTATGTAAACAACATTTTACTATAGAATTCTGTTTACTTATCATTTTTATTTTTTTATTTTTCTTTGAGACAATGTCTTGTGAAGCCCTGTCTGTCCTGTAATTACTGTGTGGCTGAGGCTGGCCTTGAACGTACAGTCTTCTAAGATCTAGGATTTTAAGTATTCATCACTACTCCCAGGTTTGATTTTAGTTTTTAATTCAAATTTTTAATGTATGTCCAGAGATTCACAAGCATGCAATACTGGGTTGCTGTTTCTGAATGATGGTTAGGAAGTTCTGATGCATGCATCACCCTTTGCCTTCCCATTGCAGAAGTGCAGAAGTCAGTTGCCTCTAACTTGCTGCTACAATGGACATCTTTGTGCATGTCCCCTTATGAACCTGGGCTCAAGTTGCTCTTGGATGCATCCCTGGGATAGATTACCAGGTCATATTTATTTCCACTAATTATGGCCAGATTGTTCTCGGCAGTGCTGTGCTGGTCAGTGTACACTATTCTCAGCAGCATGTGGAGGATCCACCTCCCTACATCTCATTAATAGCTGCCTTATCTCTAATTTGTATCCATTTTTTAATTGTTGGGCTGATTGATTCTTTATATACATGTTAATTCAGATTTGACTTTTAGTACTATCTGCTTTGACTTGTGTAGTTTAGATATTTAAGTTTAGCCAATTTATATTATTTAAAATATTTTTCCAATTTGTTCATTCTGCCTTTGATGATTCAATGAAAAGACTTCTTTTAACGAGATGTCTGTCAAATCCTTCAACCTGAGTAGTCTCCTGTATGCACAGGAGGTAAATTTCAAGATCTCACTGGATGCCTGAAAGCACAAGTAATACAAAAGCCAAGGATTCTTTGCTTTTTCCTTACACATCTGTACCTATGATCAATTTATTTTATAATTAGTAACTATATGAGAGAACAATAAAGGTAACAATAGATCAGTTATTGCAATATACTCTAATGAAATTACCATAGTCTTTACTCCTGTTCTGTTATTAAGTAAGAATGAGAATTGCGTGAACATAAACACTTTAATGCCATGACACTGTATCTCATAATGATGATGGCCACTGGATGACTAATTGATGCATGCCACTCCAGGGTGGTGTGCGCTCAACAGAGGGGTGGTTGACACCCTGGTCAGGACAGAGATAGGCAGTATTAGATTTCATTATTCAACCAGGAAAGCATAAAATTTCAGAATTCATAAAAATGTATATTTCATTTCTATAGTATTCCACTTAATATTCCAGTTGACCACAGATAATAAAATGGGCAGAAATGATGAATAAAAGAGACTATTGTATATTTTCTTCGTGATTTTTGCATTTTAATTTATATTTAATTTTATATTGACCTATAGGCTAAGAGAAAGTTTTCCTATACATTTTTCTATTAGTGTTAGAATTATCACCTTTACTAATCCATTTGGCTTTTGCTCCATCAGGAGGCCTTTGTGTATGATGTGTACTAGAAATCTAATTGTAGCTTCCTCATTATTAGAAATCAGTGTTTCTAAAATTTTCCCTAAAAAAGGAAATAAACTCAGACCAAGATTATTTAACAAGGAGCTTTGTTCTCAGTATAAAGAAGTACTCAGAGAGAATGGATATCTTTCTTGGTGAAATAAAAAATAGGATATATGAAGTGAATAGGATGGAAGCAGTTAATGAAATTTAAGTGGTAAATATTTTTTCAATTTAATACTCATGGGAAAGGATTCATGGAAGTTTTAGCAAGCCTTCTCTTGTTTTATTTCTTTTCTTCTCTTCTCTTCTTCTGTGATAGTTTGAATGTAATTGGCCCTCATAAGCTCAGAGGGAGTGGTACTGTTAAGAGGTGTGGCTTTGTTAGGGTAGGTATGGCCTTGTTGGAGGAAATATGTCCCTGTGGAGGTGGGCTTTGAGGTCTCTGCTCAAACTTCCTTATGTATGACTTTCAGTCTACTTCCTGTTGCCTTCTGATCAAGATGCAGCCAGCACCATGTCTGCCTGCCTGCTGCCATGCACCCCATCACGATGATACAAGACTGAACCTCAGAAACTGTAAGTCTGGGTATTTTTACTGTTTCCAAAAAAGGAAAACTCTCTTAATTTAAACTATTTAAATGAACAGACATTTCTTCATTTTTAAAAATCATATGACTTTTGTAAAAAGGACAATCTTTAAATAATACAGTTTCAGTATCTGCCTTTTAATAGAAATAGATATGTGAAAATTCACTCTCAAAGCATATGATAATTACTAATATAATTGATTAGTTGGCTTTGTTTAGAATTAGAATACATTAAAGTGGAAACCAAATGCTCTATATGCAAATAAAATTGTACAGATGTAAACAACTGAAGCATACTGTTGTGAAAACTTGTTTACCACATTTTACCTTGACAATACTCTGTTCTGCTTATTTATTTCTGACTTAGAAGTATACTGAAAGTAAGAATTTGGCTCATTGCCTACCTGTAATCATATGAATCAGTTGTTTGCTGTTTCTAAGAGACCTGAGATTTCTTGAGCCTATGTACATTTGTGTTTCTTAGCAGCTAATGGACAAACAAAGCAGAAATAAGAACCTTATCTACTTATGTGCTTTCAACACATAATTTATATAGTGACATAAGAACTCTAGATAGTAAATATTGTCACTTATAGCAATTTAATTTACCTATAACTTATTGAACATCAATTTTCAAAAAATTAGAATATTTTGAAAACTATAGTGGCTATTATTCAATATTCCAAAATTACTTGAAATTTCTTTGACAGAAAGTTATTAACCCTTATTTCCTCTCTTATTATGAGCATCAATTACCTTTAGTAGCCAAGGTTATTATTGCCTCTAATGCCCCTTACTCAAAGTTGTTCCCTCAATGTTGACTAATTGCTAAGGGCTGTGGGAGCATACAGCAGGTGACAACTAGTATTTAACAGGTTGACCCACCAGACGAATAACTCCCTGATGGAAAGCCTCACTTGGCAAGGCTGTGGGGTCACTGACTATCAATAATTGGTGGCTTCTGTCTGTAATTTTCTACTGTGCCACTACATTTCTTCCCTAAAAAGAACACTGTGAGATTTCTTCCACAGCCCATTGGTAGTATGTTTTACATCTTTTGGGCACACACATAATTGTGGATGGTCATGAAGATGATTTCTGCTTAAGCTGTATAATTCTGATGAATAGAAATAATACTAGAGTCTTTTTCATAACACACAAGAAAGTGACAGTATTCTCAGTCACGAAGACAGCTTTTCACACGTTTAGCTCGACCTCAAAACAAACTAGCTGCCCCTGCAGAGAATACTCAAGGACAAGTTCTCAAGTGTCTGTTAAACCAAAATCAGGCTGAAGACATTAAGACATAACTTTCCTGCAGCAGTTGGCTTTCTGCACATATTCCCAATCGTATGAGGTTCAAGGTTCAGCCAACTGCTACATGCTCTGCCAAGTATTACTAACTGGCTGGTCGATGTGACCTCCCTAGCCTGAGAAATGAGAATGAGTCAGGCCCTGAAAATGTAACATCTAGTTGTCCAGAGTTTAGCTGTTGAGGAGTGAGTGTGTGAGTGAGTGTGAGTGAGCATGTGTGTGAGGTGTCTGTGTGTGCTGAGAGAGCAGGAGATGTGTGCAGAGAGGGCTGGGGAGAAGATGAGTAGCTATGTAGAAGAGAGAGCTTGTATAGCTATATAGAGGAGAGTGAGTAAGTGAGTAAAGAGTGAGTGAATGATCTAGTAGTGTGTGAAGGAATGTAGCAGAGTAGAGAGAAGAAATATGTATAGAAGAGAAATGTGGAGCTATATAAAAAATGTAACTGTGCTGGGCGGTGGTGGCACACGCCTTTAATCCCAGCACTTGGGAGGCAGAGGCAGGTGGATCTTTGTGAGTTTGAGGACAGCCTGGTCTACAGAGCGAGATCCAGGAAAAGTGCAAAGCTACACAGAGAAACCCTGTCTTGAAAAACCAAAAAACAAGTAACTGTATATAGAAATATATGGCTATGCAGGAGAGAGATGTATGTATGTAAAGGGAGATATATAGCTGTACGTAAAGAATGTAACTGTGTGGAGATAGATTTTTCAGAAAGAGATTTCTTAAGTTGAAGTAAAAGAGAAAATCATCATCAGAAAGTGTGTGTTTCCTTATTTTCCCCTCAGATAGAAAAATCTAGCTCTCACCACCTTCATTGAATTTTTTGCATACCCTGGGCTGCTGGAGGCTGGCCCTCCAGTTAGCCATAACTAATGATCAATAGCTGCTTTCTTCTCTAAGGAACCATCTTCCTCATAAGTGGTATAGCCAAACTGAAAGAGTATTGTGCCTCCCCCTCCCTCCCCCCACATCAAAGTGGAAGTCATTGAACAATGGCTGATTGACTAGCTAGCTAGACTCAGGTGATTAAACACAATCTTCAAGAAAGACTACATCTGCAAATATCTTCTTCTGCCCTACAGACTGAACTTACCCTTATCACTTAGAAGGAACCTTTTATTAATAATAACTTTCACAAGACTCCTCCCTAGTTCTAGTGACTATGACCAAATACACACACACACACACACACACACACACACACACACACACACACACACACACACACACAGTATTTAGGATGGTGCAATGACCGCCATTGGTTTTTCCTTGTTTGTTTGACATCTTGCTGTCTTAAAAATCTCCGAGGCTGTCCTTTACTCACTGTTCTCCTGCCTCAGTTTTCTGAGTGCTAGGATTGGAGATGTGTTGCCTAGTGATTTATCACGTGCTACTCTGATCTATGAGCAGCTGTAATCTTGGCATTAGACTCTAAAATTTGCCCTAATGTGGGATGATGTCTTGCATTAAAACTCTTTGCTCCTAGATATTTCAAGGGATTGATTGTGACTACATAGCCTATCAACTATCCACTCAATCATTATTAACAGCAATTCTCTACATTCTCTTAGGTCCACTATGGACTTGGGATGATTAGTTTAAGATTTCAGCTAATGACAGTAAATATTTGCTAAAATGTTCAGTAAATATGAATAAATACCATAGTTTTCTAAACAGTTTTTTTAAGTAAGTAGATTTTATTTAACACATAATGGCTAAGGTATATATAACATCATGAATGCCATTCCCATGTAATTCCCCACAATTCTTATAACCTATTATTAGGTACTATGTCCCATTCTATGTTAAAGAGGCTAAAGTTTGTTAAGACTAAGGAATTTTATTTTGAAGACAAAGAAAATGTTAAGTTTTTACTACAAAAAATGTTTTCTCAAGCCGGGCGGTGGTGGCGCACGCCTTTAATCCCAGCACTCGGGAGGCAGAGTCAGGCGTATCTCTGTGAGTTCGAGGCCAGCCTGGGCTACCAAGTGAGTTCCAGGAAAAGGCGCAAAGCTACACAGAGAAACCCTGTCTCGAAAAACCAAAAAAAAAAAAAAAAAAAAAAAACCCTTTTAAAAAAAAAAAATGTTTTCTCATTTGAAATCCTAAAATTTTTTTGCCTTTTATTGAAAATAGATTTTTTTCTCACATGATACATCCTGTTTACAGTTTGCCCTCCCTCTGCTCCTCCCACTTCATCCCCCCCCACCCCCCATTCAGATCCATTCTCTTCCTAGATTTCATTAAAAAAATAGGCTTCTATGGGATAATAATAAAATATAATAAGACAAAGTAAAAACTATCACATTGGAGTTGAACAAGACCAGCCAGCTCCCAAATAAATACATATCAGAAATTTCATAATAAAGATAATAGTGCTGTACCACATATTATAAGATTGGTAGGTAAACTTAATTACATTTTACAATATAGGACTGAAAGGAGGAGTGTTCAAAACTAAAATAACTTCCTAAAATAACTCCTAGTTTTCTAAAATAAAACTGGTTAGAACTCTAAGCCTGTAGCTTTGTTTTTTATTCCTTTGTTTTTTCATAAAAGCATTTCATTTTCTGAACAAAAAGTAAACAGATAAACTGGGTGTTAAAGGTGTAAACAGGGATGCAGGCAAGTGAACCAAGGAAAAGTGGTGGTTAGCAGATTGGTTATACAAAACTAAGGATGTATTAAAAAAAAAAAAGTCCTTATAGATCAACTCAGTAAAATCAGTCAGTATCCCAGCAGGCAGTGCCAACTGGACTCTGTGTTAACAGTAAAACAAAACACATCAAGAAAGAGAGAAGGCATGCAGGTGGGAGGGTAACGTGGAGGGTGTCCTGGGAAGTAGAAAGGGGGTGTGGCGATGGTAGATATGATCGATGTGTGTATATCTAGATCTATCTATATAGATATGAATTATCAAAAATAAATACTTGAGAAGTCATGTTTAAAAGATACAAATTAAAAGTGTTATAATCTAAATCTTTCCTCTGAGTACTTATTCAATCAATAAACTTTTCCTTATCAGTTTGGCAGGATATAATTGTTAGTTCAAGGCTCTACTTCTCCCCCCAAAACAGGGACATAAATAGTCTCTCATTCTTTCCAGATTGGTCATGAAATTCCTAGCTGAGGCTTGTTGATTCTGGCTGCAGAAGTGTTTTTAAGTAGAGTTCAAATAGTATAGCGTTAACATTCTCTATTTTCAGATTGCAAAACAGTAAGCATACTTGGATTTAGGCTTGGGTATGTAGAAAACACACATGGAGTCTTAATATTGGGAACTTCCAGTACTTTTTATGTATATTTCTATTTATTTATATTTCTAAAATATCCTACTCCTTCTACCATAGCAAGAAATTTAAAGTGAATTAAATTTTGCTTTCAAATTAAAAAGATTGATCATATACAAGTGGACACGAGAAGCCAAATTGGAAAGCAACATGTTATAGTTCTGTTAGAGCATGTGCTTGTTCTCTTTACACAGCACGAAGCTGTTCAGAACCACTTTATGCTTCTTTAGAAACAACAACAGAAAGAAATAACAAAATTACTTTCACTTTCCAGCCGAGTAATGACCTCTATGCCGAGTAATTGTCTGAAGGCTGCTAGGAAATTGCAGGACTGCCACAGCTTACACAATACAGATGTAAGCTTTCTGAAGTCGGTCTGCCCTTAGGGTGCTTATTGAAACTGACCACTGAGATCTTGGGGAAACCTTTACACTTTGTAGATTTTGTCATCTCTATCTGAACTCCCAAACACAGTTCTTGCAAAGCATCATCTTTACATATGGTACTTTGTCTTCTTCCCATGTTCCACAGTGTTCTCTATGTGGCACCCCAAACCTTTTTGCATGTATCAGAAATTTGTGAACACTTATTCTTAAGACATCATAATAAAATAGAGTACCATGTTCTATCACGCTATTGTTCCTTGTATGTGTTTATAATCATAAAGTCTCCCTGACTTGCTCTAGTAATGAAGCATAACTCTTTTCCTCCCTTCCCCAGTCTGCTCTCTCTTCTTTCTTCCTCCTCTTCTTCCTACTTCTCAGCTCCTCCTGCCTGCTCTCTTCTTTCTCCTCTTCCTTCTTTACCTTTCCTCCTTTGTCCAAACTCTGTCAGTTGTCTCTCTCGAGGACAGAAGCCATGCCTTTATGTTTGCTCACTGGATCCAGCACAGTGGCATATCCTCAACATTGGTTTACAATCATTCCAATATTATTTATGATTGCATAAATATTTATTGGAATGTCTTGAAAGGAGATAATTTGAGTAATGGATGGGGGATAGTTCAAATGCCAGGAACTCTTAATACACAGAAGCAACTGACCTACCTGTGACAAAACATTAGTACTTTGAAGGTGATCTATACTTTTCAACTTGTGCCATCAAAATGCCATGCCTCTGGGCTGGAAAGAGGCCTCAGTGGTTAGAAACAATTGTTTACGAATTACTTCTGCAAAAAACTGAGGTTTGGTTCCCAGCATCCACAATTGATGGCTCACAATCACCTGTGCGTTCAGTTCCAGAGAATCCAACACCCTCCCTCTTCTGGCCTCCACAGACACACACACACACACACACACACACACACACACACACACACACACACACACACAATGTTGTGCTCTTTTGGTAATAACAACTGGACATTTGTTAAGTAGAAGCTCTGTGCTAGGTGTGTTGCATGACAGATAGCACACAGTATCACAGCTAATCTACTTGAGAGATTGAGATAATGCATTCTCCACTTTTGAGGGTGGAGATAATTGTGTTCGCAGAAGCATGTGTTCACACGGTTGCACAATTTTCATTTGACAAAGCCAAGATTCCAAGTTCAGTATATTGACTAGTAAGTACATTATGTCTGAAATATAAAGCATTGACTTGTTTAGATGCAAAAGTCTTTGTGGTAGGCCAAAGACTGGGAGAACTGATAAGTTAGTAAGTGTTTTTGTTTATTTGTTTGTTTAAACTACTCTTTTTCTTGTCATTGACATACACTCTCTGTGAGTTCAAGGTCACAGTGGAAACAGCCAGGCATGGTGTCACATACCTTTGATCCCAAGACTTGGGATCTCTTGCCTTTGCTTGAGAAAGACACATGCCTTTAATCCCAGGAAGTAATATAGCCGGACATAGAAAGGTATATAAGTTGTGAGGAAACAGGAATTTGCTCTCTTGAGGCTGAGGGCCAGGAACCAGAGGCTTTTTGGCAGCAGTTCAGCTGAGATCCATTACAGTGAGGACTCAGAGATTTTCAGTCTGAGAAAACAAGATCAACTGAGGATATGGCGAGGTGAGGTTGGCTGTGGCTTGCTCTGTCTCTCAGATCATTCAGACTTCACCCCAATATCTGGCACTGGGTTATTTATTAATAAGACCTTTTAAAATTCATGTTACTTACGGGCTTTTGTACTTTATCAATTTTATATCAGCAGTGCTTCTGGAAGAACTCCACCCTACAGAGAGCAGATTAGAAAAAGTTCAGCTTCCATACTGAAGAGCTAAGTCTGTATAATAAATTTTATCCAAAAATATATATATTATTGGTTCTGTTTTTTGGAGAAAACAATTCATAATTTACATTTGAACTTTACTCAGATTTTAAAAGTACTAAAAATGCTTCATGAAATATGAGGCAAAAATGAAAGATTTGGGAATATTTCTGCAATTAGTTTGTGTTTAATTCAATTTTATAAAAATGGAAATCTTTAAGAAATCAGATGGTTATCATACATTATGTATATGCTACAAGAGGGGAAATGGAAATGATGTTTGGTTGCCCCCTAGTGGTTTCTCATTAAAAATTAACTAGGAGAAATTTCATTTACAAGAAAGTTTACATGGAAACTTTCCTTTATTAAAATAGTTGAAGTTATTGGTGATATATAATTACATTTCAGTCTTCATCATATTCCATGGTGTAAGGAAACCATTGTATAAGCAGAAAATAGAAAGAATTTTCTTTAAAGTTAATTTACTTTAAAAGGTAATAAACTTTAAGAGAGAATTTGTTAAAAGTTAAATTACTTTTCCTTTCTATAAAGCAAATGCAGTGCCACAGTAAAGCGTGTAACAGTTTGACTCTGGCTTTATGACCATTGAAAGATGATCATTAGATTTTTTTCCTATTTAAAAAATAATACATTTAGTAATAGTCTCTTTTCATTCTAATACTGTAATCAATATTGATAGTGGATTTTCTGAATTTGTGTCTTATGATTTTTTTTTTTTTTGGTTTTTCAAGACAGGGTTTCTCTGTGTAGCTTTGCGCCTTTCCTAGAGCTCACTTGGTAGCCCAGGCTGGCCTCGAACTCACAGAGATCCGCCTGCCTCTGCCTCCCAAGTGCTGGGATTAAAGGTGTGCACCAGCAACGCCCGGCTGTCTTATGATTTTTTTAATGAACAAATTACTCTATCATTTTATCCATGTATACTTACATTTCTCTTCCTTTTCTCATTTTTTCTTTTAATTTTTTATTGACCCTTTGTGGATTTTCCATCATGCATCCCAATCCCACTCATCTCTCTGTCCCTTCTTAACCGCCTTCTGCCCTTGCAATCCCCCCCCCAAATGAAATAAAAATAAAAATAAATTTTTTAATCTTGTCATGGGAGGTGTAGTGTGTCATAGTGAGTCACAGAGTCTACTTTAGTCCATACATCCTTTCTTGCAAATGTTCATTTCACTGAGTCATTGATCTGTTTTGATACCTGTGGCTTCTGCTGCACTATCAATACTGGATCCTCAATGGGACTCCTCTTAGATATTCTGTTGCTGCCCTGTGTCCTGAAGATCCTGCAGCTTTGGATCTGTCCTTTCACATGCTCCAGCAGTTGACAGATGAGGTCGATGTTGCAGTGGGCTAAATCATAGACCTGTTCTGGACCTGGATGGTAGCTGAGTTGTCAGCCTGCCACCTCTGCTGAGTCCTCACCACCAGAGTGAACTCTTCAGCACTGCCCCAACTAGCTCAACCAATGCAGGCAGGAAACGAGATCCAACCAGTTCTGCTGTCATGGGCCGGCTCACCGGCACCCAAGGGCTCCATCTCCTGAGTGCTGCAGTTGTTGAGGGGCGGAACGAGCTCTCCTGCTCTCATATCCCTGAGGCCAGCTCTCCCATCTGCTACAGATGGCAAGGGGCAAGAGGAGGGGCATCTCTCTCTTGAACACACCACCCCACAACAGAGAAGTAACAGGACCAGTCTCCCTTTCCCACAGCCTCAGAGCCATCTTATCCTGGACCCTGCCATCAGAGCCAGCTCTACTGTGCTGCCCAAGCGTGTCCAGGCACTCTCCTGCCCAGGCACTCAGGAGAGGGAACCCTCAGTAGAGCTAGCCCTGGTGATATGGGTGCAGGTGAGCCAGCCCAGACGGCATGAGAACAAGAAGACTGGCCCCGTCTCTTGCTGCCGGCAACATTGGTTGAGCTGGCTGAGGCAGTTATGATGAGCTCACTCTGGTGGGCCGCCAGTGAGGGGTGGGGCCAACTCTGTGCAGCCCTTGGATGTCAATATGGTCCCAGGCGGCAGTCCAGACCAGGATATCCACATGGACTTTGGTGATAACATGGGCCATGAACATCATCACTGACCCTTGCTGCTGCTTGCCCACAGTCCCAGACACAGTCCTCAGCAGCAGCATGGGTCAGGACTTCACCATGGCCTCGGGTAGCTCATGGTAGCAGGCTACTCACATCAGACGGTTCCTTGCCACCTTCACATCTTCAGATCTGTCTCTGTTCATTGTGCTCAAACTTTTCAGCTTCTCTTTCTCTCCCATCTCTCTGGCCAATGCTTACATTGTACACCATAGTGGCTCCTGCTGTGGGAAGGCCAGTCGTTGAGCAGGATCTCTGGGTGTCATCTTCCTTCATGGTGGTAGGCAGGGCTTCTGTATTGGTGGAGGTATTAAGGCAACTCCACGTAGTAAAAAGGGAGGTTTATTTTATGGGGTAACTTACAAGTGAAGGGATAGGTTACAGGGTCTGGGAAAGGTGTAGCACAGTCCAGCCGTGTTCTCTGGAGAACTCTGCTCAATCTATCTCCAGCATCCAGGATCCAGGAACCAAGAGAGCCGGCACATCTGGATCTCGAGTCTTAAGGGCTCCTCTCTCGGCCCTGCCTTGTAGGTGTGACAGTTACTGGAAGCCTCAATGGGGGTAGTACTTCCAGGGCAAAGCTGGAACAGCTACCCACTACACCTCCGGGTGTCTTCAAGTGTTTTTCTAACATAAAGCTAACAAAGGAAACAAATCTCTGGCCAAAGTTAGACACAACACAGTAGAACTGTAATTCAACACAGAGTCTTCCGGTTCATGGTTGAACCACCACCACAACCAACTAGAGAGATTAGCAGCTAGGCCAATGATGAGAAGTAAACACAGCAGGACATATCTGGTCAGTTGTGGGTCTCCATTCTGTCAGCACTGCTTTTCTTCCTGGGCTAGGATGCAGCTCTGGGAATCACATCGATACCTACCGTGGTCAGCTTTCTCAAAGGAAGATGAAACAGGCCCACTAGCACTTGTGTTTGTTACGGGCTCAAGGATGGGCAGTGTAATTCACCTTCTCCCAAGGAGCAAGAACAGCAATCTCCTTGACTCCTCTTCACCTCACTTCATGGCACACAAACCTTTTCCATGTCTCCACCACCCACTTTCTCTCTTCCTTCTTTCCCATCACTCCACCAGCTACTTCCCACCACACCCAGCCAGGTGCAGGGCCACAGTGTTGTCTTTGTGCTTCCTGGAGTGCATGACTGGGCTCAGCTAGGGCGGGGCCTGGCCTGGGTGTTTTCACTGGAATGTTCCCTCTTCAGAGAGATCTAGGCTCTGGCCTCAGCTGCTACAATGAGCCCAGGCCGCCAAGGTCACCAGAGCCATCTTGATTCTGTTGATATTTCTCATATACTCAAAAATATAGACAACCATACTTAAAATATACTTCATTCTCAACAAGCTATAAAATAAATCTAAAATAAATGTTTAGAATTTGGAAATTAAGTAAACAATTATAATTCTGATTTTGAATTCTGTCTGGATACTCAGTAGCATTATATACTACTAAGAGAATATACTCAACATACAATAAATGCTTGTACATAAGCTTTAAATATGTTTTTAAAAAGATACTATTAGGACTGACTTCTCCAAAAGGACTTTCTATCCATATTAGCACCAACTACGTGTTTTTTGGCAGGAAGTTCTATCTTGGGATTTCTTATTGTTTTAAACTTGATTGTCAAATCATTCTTGCTTACTTTATGTTCCAAAACAGCCACGTTAGGTGCTTATAAAGTAGACAAACGGCTCTGGCTATATTTCTTCTAATTTACAAAGCCAAGTAACAATATTCTATTCTGAAATACCATAGTGTTGTATGAAAATGCAACTGGATAAGAATGAGGAAAGGAAGAATGGAGGATTCGAAACACTAAGGAAGAGTTAGAAATCATTTGTAACCTTTGCTAACCTTTGTAATGAAGGAAAGAAGATGGACTAGCTATAGAGATGCTGCACACACAGCATCATTGTCTTCACTATTGTTTTGCTATTCATTTAGATAACAGAGTCCAGAACCTGGGGCTAACAAGGATATAGACTGATCTTATTCTTCATATAGAAAACTTCTCCTGGAGTCCTATAGCACAGGAGATGTTTACAGAGTCTTTGAAGTTTCCACAGTGGCATGTGCTCAGTTATTAGGGTTAGAGAGAGTGAGCATAACGTCTGTGCAGTTGCTGAGTTAACAGAGCTCTGGAAAACCCCATTTCTGATAACTTCTGCAATGGTTTTCTCTTGAATACTTTATCCTAAACCAAATATGCTCACAATTCAGTGAATCGGAGTTTCCCCACAACCTCCCTTTTCAGCTTCCTTCATTGATGTCTGTGATCACTGTACCTCTTGAGGGCCTCCTTTTCCTCCTTGTGACTAAATTACTTTTAAAGTCAATTTTTGAATCAGGTAAAAGTCTTGCTTATATATTTTAAATAGTTTCACTTGACATAAATTTGTAATACAAAGGGCAATTGGTCAAAAAACAGATACAAATAGTCATATGGGTGAGAAAGGTTTTAGTAATTTAAGTTTTTACAAAAAATTATTCAATTTGAATGACTAAGGCACATTGTAGTGAGAAGTAAACACCATACCAGGAGAAAAAAAAATGTCTGGCTAAATGTACAGTCAAAATTAAATTCTACAACTGAAAAATTATGGGACAGATATAAATGGCATACAGATTGGTCAAGTGTCTATAGCCAGACACTTTTCTCTGTCCCACCCGGTCCCAGAGTCCCACAGCAGCTTTTAAAATAACCACCCAGAGGTTTAATATTAGTTACAAACTGTTTGGTCTATGGGCCAGGCTTCTTGCTAACTAGCTCACTTGTCTTAAATTAACTGATTTCTATTAATCTATGTATCACCATGTGTCTCGCGGCTTTACCTGAGTTCCATTAAGCTTGCTTCTCAGGCGGTGGCTTGCACCATCTCC